AAATCGTAGGAAAAGGCTCTATATAGAACCCCTTGCTTAATTGAGGTTGTACGTGCTCAAGGCGAAGAGAAGGTGCGGTCGCACGAGTTCTCACTTGTTGATATCAGCTGTTTTCCCTTATCACCTCACTCTCACCACTCGACGTGGAGAGAAGCAGCAGCGAAACAACCGCACCATCAGATAACCATTAGGAATGAGTGGAGGGCGGTGCCAATGATTGTAGGTTGGGCCAATGAGAAGAACGACGGCATCGTGGGCCTCCTCACTCGTTTTTGCGCCGCGAAAGTGGTGTAGTTGTTGCCTCTGCGGACCTGACTACCTGCTCACGAAGGGAGAGGAAAATCTCAACTGAACGCGGACGCTGCCTTTGAGAGATGCTCTAGGTAATAAAGTTGAACTACCACCGTATCATTCATTCTTATATGTTAGTCCACACTAATTAAATGGTTGTGAATCCACTACAGTAAGTGAGAAGCAGAAAAAAAGTTGTGAAGGAAACCCGCAGCAACGACCCACGGCAGCCTCACTGTATTTGTACGAGAAAGTTTGATTTCGTGTCATGTTCCAAGTATTTTTTGGCACTGTAACCGTTCCTACATTGAGCTGACGACGCGGTCGCGAAGACTGAAGTTGTCTCTCACAACCCCGCGAAGTCCTCGCTTTCTTTATTTCTCACTAATTTCCCATTTAAGGAATTGAAGGATATCAAGACGACCGACTGCACATCGTGAAGCTTGAAGTCACCTGTGACGAATCAATAAAGAACGCTTACAAGAAGGTGAGATTTTTTTCAAAAAGCCATAACAGTTCGAAGAGGTTGACGGGTATCTTCTAACACTCACAGGTAGAAAACATCGTTGGTGATAAAGGGCTCACGATACTTGTGAACAATGCTGGTATGTGGGTGAAGTACTTCACGAATCAAGAGCCAAATCGAGCGGATCTCATCAAAAATTTCGATGTAAATGCAGCTAGCGTCGCTGTTCTGACGCAGGTTGGTTGAACTTTTTACTGACTCTTCACTTCTCGTGCGAGGATGCGTGTAGCGCTTCTTTGAACTCAAACTTTCCTCTAGTGGTTAACCAACTCTCTGTGTAGCTGCGGTCTTCGTCGAAGTGCTTCCACGAGCTACATGACTCGTGTGTGGATAGTTACTTTCCAGTCGTTGCGTCGCAGTAGGAGCTGACTTAGGAAATACAGAACAAAAAAAAACAGAAAAATTTTCTCCACTACCACCAACATGCTGAATGTTGGGATCTAGTGCGGATGCTGCGTACGTTGCCCCGCTTGCGACATAGGCCGCTTGCAAGGCCGCTGGGGGTTGAAGCCCCAGACCAATACGAGGCACGTGTTGCCGTTAGAGAAAAATTTTGCAAAGAGCAACCGTTCTCAGAACTTCCTCCTCTGGTTTGTTCACCCCCTCCCAATCCTTCCAACCTTTTGTGTACCTTCTCCAAGCTTCCTCGCTTTTCCGGAGTTTCTTTTCTCCAGGAGTTCCAACCCTAGTTTCCCAAAAACAGCTGTTGTGGGTAAGAGAGTATGTAGCGTATGTAGCGGACATGAAGCAGGAAAATTTCCAAAAAAAGTAATCTACCGGTCCTCTGGAAACATTCATCCTGATGGAAAAAACGACCCAGTTTCTCCGGCGACCAAATACCACCCTGTTTTCGCTTGACCGCCTGCCCTTGAGACTTTACGTTCTCTTACACGAGTGCAAGACGCATGGTACGTTGGGGATCCCAGGCGTACGGAGTTGAGTTTTTTTTATGGTTAAAGGTAAAACCCACGACTATTCGCATCACAGAGTGCATTACGGCTATCAGAAATCATGCAACCTGCTCTAAATGGAACCCCATTTCGATACAATTTGTACGTGTCCAGTCAACTCCATCTCCAACACTATACTCTCATCCGCACAGCTGATTTTCCCACAAGAACTCTACGATCGTACGAGTGACCATTTTCATGCTTTTTCGTCCGGCATCTTCATTTTTCATTGAAAATAGACCTCGAAGGCGGGAGTCCGGAGGTGGAGCCACTGGAAAAAAGGGGGCGCCACTGAACTTATTTTGCTATAGCGCCCCTCCCTCACAATGTTCGGCAGCGCAATCGGTACAGAGTTTTTTTTGCCACGAACCACCCAACCCTCCCGACGCCATAATTCCAACATCTATATCTGATCGCGGATCGAGCCTTTAAGAGGTTAAGAGGTGTGGGGACAGAGAGACGACTAGCAGCCACTAGGATGAACATCCGGTAAGCAGGATTAAGCAGAAGCCTCTCAAATTGGATCGAAAAGCGGAAGGAGTTGGCTGCCTCAGCAGTGCCTTACTGTAGCATATCACGCAGAGGCAAGTGAGGTGTGTTCAGTGGTATTGCCGTGTCCGTCTCTGTATTTTCGTGCATTTTCGGAACTTACCTAAACCTAGGAATAAATTTCTTATTGAACACTATCCTGAATGTAGATCTTTCAAGCAACATTCGTCTTTATGCTTTCGGAGTTTAACATTTGACACTGGAGCTAGTTTTATTTGCTGGTCCAGAAAAGCGGCGGTGCTAAGCGGTCCGAAAAAGAAATCAAAGGATACTTTGCAAAATCTGCAAGAGGGAATCCTTAGAACATCGAATGCAGCATCAGCGCCCGCGATAGGAGGTCAAAATGGGCGGAGATACACTTCATGCTGCCATGTAGTCGTTGAGCCTGTCTTGCGGAGACAGAATCAAGTAGAATCAAATAGTGAACGTGGCAGCACCAAGGCATGAGATCTCCGTCCATTGTGACCTACTATCGCAGGCGATGAAGCTGCTCCAATATTCTGATGGTGAGCCGTTTTCCCGCTTACAGTTAGTGACTTTGAGAGGATACGGAGAGGAAGGAGAGAAGGGGAGGGATGGTTCACGAGAGGGGGACGTAGCACAATGGCAGGCAGAAAAGATACGGCAATTTCACCGGACACACCCGTGTGCCATCCTTGATTCCACTAGCGCTGCCACCCATACGCCTAGGTTTGGCCAAACGTCCTACTTGTCTGTACCCTTTCTTTGGTTGCACATTGGGACAGCGCGGGTAGAGTATGGAGAGGGAACCGGCCCCGCTCCCATGCACCTTTGAGCGAGAAAGCGACATGCTTTCACAGCTGCAGACCCACTCATCTCTCACATGGGGGCGATTTGTCTTGGAGTTGCGAGTGCAGCTTGTCTGTAGAACGCGAATGCGTGGCTCATTCCACAGTACCTACAAGGATTAGCGTTACCAAAGATTCGTAGTCTGAATGTCGTTCTTTTTGTTCTTGCTCATTGATTTTCATGCTTGTAGACTTTCCTGCCACTGTTACGCAAAGCAGCTGCTCAAACGGCTTCGGACGAGTTCTCAGCAGAACGCGCTGCAATCCTCAACATTTCGTCAGGAGTTGGTTCTATCAGTACAAATACGTCAGGATCAGGAAACTTTGGGGCGCTGGCCTACAGAGTAAGCAAGGTGAATATTTTTCCGGAAGAAGTGGATTAGTTTGACCTTATACGTGTTCGTTAGTAAGGTCTTGCTTGTGCTGCTTGAGACATTCGATTACAGTCTGCGCTTAATTCC